TTTTAAGAATGTTAAACTCTCTGGAAAAAAAAAGTACTTACATTGAGGTGTTCCTGGGTCTTGTTCTTAAAGTCCTCCGAACCGCTCTTCAGCCTCTCGTATATAACATTATCCGCCCCCTTGCAGTACAGCTTGAGCTGCCCGTCCTTCCTCAAGATCACCGACATCCTCTTCCTGATGTTGTTGAAATCCAGTATGCACAGTAGTTCATACACCTCCTTCACGCCCATAACCTCAATCGTGATGCTGTTTGGGGATCGCTCTTTGAAGACGAATCCAAAATTCCTCGCCGCAGAAACCAGAGCGGCTTCGTCAGGGGACTGCGCCTGATACTCCAGTCGTCCGTCTCTCTCCTCCGACATGACGGTGTGGCACAGAGCCAGCAGCCTGAAGAAGCTGAACGCTTCAGCGTCTCTTCTTCGTACGGCTTCGAGCAGATGCTTGTCGTAGAACCGGAACTCGCACTCGTAGTTCGGGTTGAAGGAGAAATCGAGCGGTTCCGTGTCTTCGGTTATTTCGATGACGTCACCGGTTCTCTGGTCGATGACGTCACCGTAAGAACGGCCTCCGATTGAACACTTGTTGAATGTCATTATGTTTTGGGTAAGCGTACCGGTTTTGTCAGAGAATATGTACTCTATCTGACCTGGAAAAGAATCATAATCAATAGTCAGTGTTGAAAGATATCTCGATATCAATAAATTGAAATTAAATGTAACTAAAACCAAAGCCATGATAATTACTAATAAATTTAAATACAACAAAATTGGGATAAATAATTTAGACATAAATATTGATAACAAGAAAATTGAGATCGTCACAAATATAAAATACTTAGGAGTCCAACTCGACAATACACTTTCTTTTGATAGCCATTTCGACTATGTTCATAAAAAAATTTCAAAAAAATTATACTTTTTTTCAAGAATTGCTAGTAATTTATCAACAGCCACTAAAATAACAGTTTATAAAGCAATTATTCTGCCTCATTTTGACTATTGTGCATCAATCATATACTCTATGAACTTAAATAAAATTAATCAACTGCAGAAATTGCAAAATAGAGGCATGAGAATTATTCTGAGATGTAATAGATACANATTCAGTTAGATGAGTCCACTTTACCAACCAATAAAGCATTGTTGTTGTCATACGTGAGGCTTACTAAAAATGACAAAATATATTAAGAACTACTATTTGCCAGAAATTTAGAGACGGATACAAAAGAAGAAACCATATATAATACACTGGAAAAATATTGTGGTGAGAAAGAAATTCCACTGAAGAATATTATATCAGCTGCTACAGATGGCGCTCCGGCTATGACAGGACGTCACAAAAGCTTCATATCGTACTGAAAATTCCAGATGTGCTCGCTGCTGTACATTGCGTCATTCATAGGCACAATTTGGTTGCGAAAAATTTGAGTGAGCGCCTCTCTCAATCACTGCCATACATCATCAAAGCAGTCAATAAAATCCGAAACAGCTCTTTGAATGAAATACTATTTAATCAGCTTTGTGTTGCTAGTGATGAAGATTTCAACCGATTGCTATTTCACACAGAAGTGCGTTGGTTATTAAGAGATAACTGTCTGACTCGATTTTACAATCTATTTGACTCTGTAATAGAGTTCTTGGAAAACAAAGACAAAGAATTGCACGACAACCTCATCACTTCAAAAAATGATATTGCATTGACCGATCTGTACCTCTGATCTACAGAATTTAATCGGTGCTAAAACTCTGATTTATTGCGCCTAAGCTGCGCCAACAGAACGTGAGCAAACGCGGCACCTAACGCGCGGCAGCTCTCTCATGCCTAAATGTTGTGCTAATATGTGACAAACACATTCTTTCGAAATGTTCATAACCTCTGCTATCTCTCTCACTTTAATTCGGCGGTCGTCTAGCACCATTTGGTGAACTTGAGCCATGTTTTCGTCGATAGTTATAATTTTTGGACGTCTCGAACGTTCATCGTCTGCCCAAAATTTCACTGTGGGAAATGATGATGCAGAGTCCCCATACAGATAATCTAAATCCTCTTTGATTTGCGTACACGTTTTGCCTTTCAAAAACAGATATTCAATAACAGCTCAATACTCGATTTTGTCCGTTTTCATAAAAACCTCACGTCAACTCACTCAAGCGACTGTTACATAACAACTGCGGGTCCAAAATGGCTGAAACTTTGGTGAGTAACTGTCAACAGATGAACAACGAAATTCACTAGCTTTTATTTATGAGTGCTGCTATCTTCATGTTGAGGTCAAGAGCTTTTTAAACCACACTCGTATATCAAGATATTCTCCAATGTTCTACAATGAGAAAAAAAACATTTTGCAACAAAATATATATGTATCGCCGAGCTCGTATTTTTCGAGGTTAGTGATATCCATCCAAGATATTCAAATACCAGAGATAACAAGTTATTTGAATGAAAAACGGAGTTATTATGAGAATTCCAAATGAAAAAAAGAAATATTTCATATTTTTGCCTTGTTATCCTCGAGATTTGCAATAGTCTTCTTTCATATATTGAGTGGTCCAACAAAAAGTATGCACCTTTCTTTTCTCCTTTTCTTGTAACTTAACGCAAAAATGCTCGGACAGGTCAACTTTGCTTTTAGATGTATTTTTCTACCTGTGCCTTCAACCCCCTAGCGAGGGTGAGTAACAACCCTAAAATTTTAAATGGAAAGTNTTCATTGAGTATGAGCTTGTTTGTCAAGAACCAGGTTTTTGCTTGTTCCATAACTTCCCCAAGTATTGTAGCCGGACACTCCCCTTTATTGATACTGATGCCAAATGTGGTGTCATCAGCATACATAATTGTCTCGATATTTGAGGAGAACATATTTGGCAAATCGTTTATATAAATAATAAAGAGAAGGGGGCCCAATATTGATCCCTGAGGAACTCCCCTACTTATTATCTGAGGAGTGCTTCTCTGATTTTCAATACAAACTACTTGAAATCGATAGGACAAAAAAAGGAGAAAAGCAAGGTGCATACTTTTCCTTGGACCACTCTGTATATTTGTAACTTGACTTTTTCACTTTTGAAAATCACCGACATGACCTTATCAATCAATGAATAAGTATACTATGAATGTCGAGAATTTAACTGAGGTCTGTTAATGAAATATCATCAGTACACGCATACTTTTGTGTCCCACGTTGGGCGCCATTTCGACCGGAGAAAAACTTCAATTGGACTCACCTAGTTCTTCATTAAGTGTGGTGGTCCTCGCTTTGGCGTGGGTGCCCGTCTTCTCGTAGTACATCTGATCGTCCCAATTGATTAAAAAACTCTGTACAAACCGTATCACTTCGACAGACACGTACAACGAGATCGGCACCACAGTGTTGAGGACGATGGCGTATGAGAAAAACACCAACAGGGCTATGATGGTGGCGCCGCCCATAGGCTCGGAAGGCACCAGAGTGTCCCAGGGCAGGAAGGTCTGAAAATACTGCCCGACCAGGGTCTCCCATATACCACACGCCACCATACAAAAAAGGCACATGGACAATAAAAAAAATACTATCTGAAAATAGAAAAAAAAACGATTGTCAAGAATAAATTTATGAAATGGAACAATTGAAACGGGAATGATTAAGTCCAAGTCAAAATTTATCGTCTTCTCTTTGAGAAATCTATGAAATCTGTTGCAACATATTTTCAAGACATGACAGTTCAGCATTTTTCAACAGCTCTCAGCATGGATATCAGCAAGGAAAATCTACAATGACAGCAATGATAGAGATTATTCAAAAAATCATAGTTGTATATATTTATTTATTTTATTTTGATCTGTGCATCTCTGTGTATATGTATTTTAATTTTAATACTAAGGAAATAACGACGTTGTAATGTTTCATTTACAATGAATAAATTGATTGATTGATTGATTGATTGATATACTTGAATCCTAAGAGATAAGTTGAAACAAACGTCAATACAACTGGTTTTTTTTCAGTCGGAGTAATAATTACTGGTAAAATTTCATATAATCCCTCATCATAGTTGAAAAAAATACTTACTCCTATAATTAAAAAGTTGAGGAGCCTATCGATGCTAGTGCGCTTGAATTTACTCTTGCCGCTGTTCTGCATCAGCTTCGTGTCTTTGCCAGCAAAGATCACGACGCCGTAGCACCACTGAGTGTTCCTCAGCACGCACCCCCTCAGCATTATCTTCTCGTTGTCCAACGGGAAAGACCTGCCCTTCCACAGCAGGACGCCTTCGAACTTGTTTAGCAGGTTATTGGGCAGTTCGCACATTATTTCGCCGTCGAATTCGCCGAGCAGAGTGTCATCCTGACCCATCTCGGTCGTTTCGACCAGACACTGTCGGCATTTCAAGTTAGTTTCTCTGGAAAGCAGAAAAAGTTATTTTGGGATGAAAATTTAAGCAAAATTGTCACAGTGCAGTCCTTGTCACATGTGTCAGTAGTTAGTTTAAGCCGATTTTGGACCCTCTTCCCACCACTTTTAACCTCGAACCGACCTTCACTAACATCACACGATGTAATCAAGGTGACTTTGAGAGTGTTTTGTTTGACACTGAACGACCTTGACGTACGACGCAGATAATATGCGTTTAAGGTAGTGTTTTGAGTTTGACCTTGAACGACCTTGATCAAAGCCTCATATTTTCGACAAGGTGATTTTGACCTTGAAAGAACTCAAGCCAGTTAAGTGGCTATCTTGAAATTCTGAAACTACGCCACACGACGTAGCCAAGGTGACTACGAGGAAGTGTTTTGTGTTTGACCTTGAACGAGCTTAACCTACATCGCAGACAAGGCGACTTTGGATTAGTTTTTTGAAATTGATGAAATTGGCAATCATTCACAATTGTTTGTGCTCATTGTTTTGAATGCAAATTGCATCGATCTGATATCCTTTTCCAAATGCTCACACATTCTTACAAACTCTAAAAATTTCAATCCAAACGTAAAGAGATCTTCTCTGATACCCGTACTGTATCAAATTCAAAGGTGCTGTGAATTTATCACTATTCGATTATGCTCCAGCTGTGACATCATAATTCACACGAATAATTCTCACCTTATTGATATTCACAGGCAATGTTGATTCCATCAATAAAAACTCCTGAAGCTCGTACTGATGAGGAGTTGAAAAAAGTTTTTTTCACTTTAAACTTCGAAGTACACCCAAATATTCAGAACTGTCTTGTGCATGAAATTTTATATTAATAATTTTTCATACATTATGTCAAGTAGCGTTCTCGTTCAAGATATCTGGTTCATTTTCCGTTACGAATGTTGGGGAGTGCAAACTAAATGAGAAAAAGTGATTTCGGTTTAATTTAATGTTCATATATTTGAAAGTAGTTATTTCATACGGTTTTTTAAGAAGCTTCCGTGCATGTAGGGGTGGCTTTACAGTGGGAGGTGATGTGCACCCGGGCGCCAGAAGGGAAATTATTACATGTTTACTCAAAAAGTTAATTGAAAGATAAAGCTGACACTTCTGACGTAGGATAAATCGAAAATAAACACTGCTCTCCGACTTATCAGAACCTTGTTTCCCGAACCAAGTTAGTTATCAGGGGGATGAACTATAGTGTACTTGACGCCAACTTGGTTGGTGAAATTCGCGTCCAGAAAAGGGTTGCAAGTCTAGTTAGTGTGCGGGAAAATTGGTTGTTTTGGAAGAACTAAAAGACAAAATTGGGTTTCGTAAAGGTTCAAAACGAATAATACTTACCCATCCAACTCTGACGTTTCTATGTAGCACAAGCCGTTCGGCTCGCTAGAAGTTAAAATCAACAAATCAGCCGCAATGAAAGAATTGTTGTCCATTCTGACAATATCTCCGACTTGAACCGCCGACCATTTTTCGTTGACGAGTTTCCCTTTGCGGACTACCCTGGACTTTCTATTGTTGACGTGGGAATCAGAAATATGACGTTGCTAGAAATGCGAGAAACAAAATACGCCTGTTGCATGAAATATCTCATCAATTCACGTGAAAGACATTTGAAAAAAATGCATTATTTATTTGAATTGCTCCAAATATAACGAACTCTCGTGCTAAAAAATGGTTAACATTGAACTGGCCTCATATAATGAATTAATCTCTGTTCTTTCAGTCGTTCGGAAAAACTTCTTCCCGTTTGACCAACATGAAATCTTGGATAAGAACCACAAATTTACTTATATATTCATTCCTGTTGTGAGTTGTTATGTAAAACTCTCTAATAAATGTGTAATTGTAGTATAATAGTTCTGGAGCCACTTTACCAATGAGTCCTCTTCCGATAAGTGATGAACAAAAAAAAACTCGTATTCACTCATGAAATGTGTGTTGAAGCTGAAAAATATTACTCACGATGTCATCGTAAGCATCTTTGATGGCAGTGAGTCCCAGTACGCCGATGAGAGGGAGAGCTGTGGTGACAGGCGTGAGACTGCTGATAGCCGGTATCAACTGCAGCACAAGAAGGCACAAAAAGTAGAAGTTAGCCAAGCGTTGGAACTGTTCGAACAAATTCAGAGGCAGGAACGTCAACAACGAATACTTTGAGGTCTTTATGTAGTTACTCTGAAAAAAAAACAACGCCAGTTGATTGAATCTGAAGCCACTGCTTTGGCAGGTGATTCCATCAATAATCTTGTTTTTGTATACCAAACAGGCAGTTTTGAGAATTGACAATGAGGGTAGAATTAACAACTCTGCGTCTTCAATAGTTTTTCACAGCTACAATGGATCCTATTTTACAAATATAGCGAATACCACGTTGTTTGAATCTAACATATGTTAAAGGAAGTTTATATTTTTTTAATTGATCCTATTATCCAACTAACCTGTCTTCATAAAAATTATTAGATCATTAAACTAGTTAACTCTATAACTTTTATTTGAAACATTTTATATCTCAGTGGAAGCAGCTGTCTTCCACACATCGTTGATACACCCTGTATAGAGGTTCAACACTAATTGTTTTTTGTTCGAAGGTATAAATGAAAAATGCCTGGAAAAATTTTGAATACCGACAAAATATACAGATGCCATCTTTATAACTCTTCATGAAAACAGTATGTGAAAACAACTTTTGATTCTCGATTGAGATTTTTCAGTGGAAATATTTGCAAACTGAAGTAATTTTAGAAATGACCGTCATAGCATTATTTTGAAGGTTTTATGTAATTTAAAACTTTATATACAATACTGTTGTGTAATTATTTTCACACGTTTGTAATGACGATTATTTGAACCTCCAAAATATTATTGAAAAACAACTTTCACCAGAATAGGACTTGTTTTATTTGTATGATTTTGGTGTATACTTTTTACTTGAAAAAAAACAGGAAAATATATCCAAAATCACTGACTTACAAAAAAATCAAGTAACAAACTCTTGCTCGATATTAGTAAACAAAGCGTTTTGATAATTATTTAGAAAAACATGCAGCTTAGTTTAATAAAATATTTTCAACTAGAAAAATTGGCACATAAAACGTCAAACACTAACAGGTAAAATTTTGCTAGAAGGTAATTACAAAAACAATCAACTTACAGAGTAATGAAATTGTGAGTTGTATACTCTGTCATTTGCGTGAATTCTTCTCTGGTTATCTGAAACAAAAAAAAAGAGCGTTAATCAATGATCACTTTGAATTACTTAGGCATTTGAATGCACTTCACTATTTCATTATACTTCTCACACCATATTTATATAATCGAAAGCATTATGTCGGTCTATGAAACAACAGAACGTCCAAATTAGAGCATACTGAGAGAGGTGTCCCACAAGGTTCTGCACTGAGGCCACTCCTTTTCATTGGAGTGGCCCGCAAATATCAGAACATGCTGAATGCCCGAAGCTGATATTTTTTCCCAGCCACCTGGTTTTACCATGAAGTGGTCATATCATACTGAATAACTAAATATGAAAAACATCTAAATACCTATTTTTATTGAAGAAATTGAGAAAATGTGTTTCTCATGACTTTTCTCGCAACTTACTGACGTTTTCCATTCTCAAAAATTATAAAAGCAATCAAAATTAGCATGAAGGAGGGAAAAGAAACTTTGTTATATTACGAAAAGGCAAGTAAATTTTTTATAAAAATACAATTCCTCAACAAATATGTTTGTTTAGTTGTGATCTGCAAACTTTGCAAACAATAAAAATGAGGTACTAAAAAACAATAAAAATGAAGTCCTAAAAATTTTATCAATGCCTCAATTTGGGTTATCACAGCAAATGCAAGTTTGAACAAAATAAAGTTGAGTTCAATTCATGAGTTTCTCAAATTCACTTCGAAAAATATTCAAATTGATGTTTCAAATGTTGGGTTTTAATTTTTAAAGGGATTTGTTTCTAATTCACATATTGGCAACAGCGCCTAGATATAATTGAAATAATTTATATGTACCTAGATATTCTACTTTAAAAAATGAAAATTATCTTTATAAATCAACAATTAAGGCAAAATATAAATTATAGTTCAATACCATCTCCACAAGCCACATAAACAACAGATGTTTTGTTATTTACTTATATAGAGGAAGATAGGTTAGGTGCACAAAATATCATATGTCAAAGAATGTCTCGAAACTCAGAACATAGTAAACAGAACAGCACGCCTCTGAAATGTGTCATTTTTGTTTGTCTCATACAGGTAACAGATTCATTGTCCTTTATTAACTATAACCGATGTTACCAAATGGTGAAATAGAAACGAATCCTTTTAAATGATGAATGCATTATTTCATTCCTCTTTTTTAAGTATTTAAATAATTTTTTAAAGAAAAAGGTTGAAATGATAAGTTTAAAATGCGTTGTTTTAGAGCTCTTTTATGAAAACTACTTGATTTTCGTCAGGAGGAACATTCACCATTTTCATCGGCAGTGATAATCCTCCTTTTTTCCACTCCAGACAAAAACTGAACAATGTCATCATCAACAAACCCTGAAAAGAGAGGGTCAATTTTTTTTTAATGAACAACTAATTTATTTTCAACTTCACGATAAAAACTGTGATAAACAAACTTGTATAAATTTTGTTTTGTACAATTTTAGTCCTTATCAATTTTTTCGTATGATTGATATTTTTTGATTTATACCCAAGAAAAGAAGGGGGTAAAATCTCATCATTGTATTATCGCGTTTATTTTCTATTTAACGGGAAAAATTGTGTGTATTAAAATGAATTTTCTACAATTTTGGTTCCAATATTTGTTTCCCTAGGATCGATGATTTTTGATCGGGTATAAATCGAAAACTGAATAAATTTGATTTTAAACAACTTTGTTCATCATAATTTTTCCCGTAAAATTGAAAATGAATGTTCAATTAAAAATGTTCAATAAAAAAATTCACCCCCTTTTTTCGGGTATAAATCGAAAAATATCGATCATAGGAAAATTGTAGGAAATTTTCAAACAACTTTTGTAGTAACTATTTTTCGTGTAAAATTGAAAATAAACGAGTTATTCAATAAACAAAAATCGACCCATAAATTTAGACTGCCAGTCCCGAAAGAAAATTGCTAATATTTTTTTTGTGTTGTTGGCCCCTTTTTTGAGCTAATTTGACTGACCTATTATCGTTTCGCCCTGATGATTATTTCATAGTCAATTTAAACTGATACATATGGTAACCTTATTACTAGAGCTGGTTCAAGGATTCAACAATTACATGGCACTTACATAAACAGTGTAATCAATTTTTATGGCACAGCAATTGCCTCTCGAGACTCCTAATAATTACCGCTTGATATTCTCGAGATTTATTTTCCACCATAAGGTATTTGAGTAGTTTGAGACATTTTTTTAATATACAGTGAATTTTAAAATGTTTTTTCATTGATTTGTAGTTGAATGGGGAAAATATGCCCAATTGGCATGAATACGATTTCAGAGACGTGTTCCAACAATCTTAACGCGATAGCAATCGCACTTTAAATGATAAGACCTTGTTAATCTTTAGCTGGCTTAAGTTTTGGCTTCGGAGAATTGTCGTTCGAAATAAAATAACAGCTGATTTACGGAAAAGCACATCACAACACATTTTAACCCATAATAAATTTCAATCAGATCAGAATTCAAAATATTTTGTGGGATTTTCAAGTCTTTTATGAAAATTCATACAACAACGAATGATTTCAAACTCCTGTTGAGCTAGCAGAACCACTTTGAATTCTTATATTCATTTTTAGGCCGTAATTTTATGCTAATTGTCCACTATATTCCCGAATTTTTGGCTTTTTATCAAACGAAGACATCATAGTTTCTGACAGCTTAACTGTAAAGCTAGCTGAACCCGCTGATAAAAAACAACATATAGAAAATCAGCGATAGGAAGCAATGGGAGCTTGAAATTATGACGTAGCCTGAGTCAACGAAAGCTTTTTGTGGTTGGGTTCCATACTAGTTTAACGTTAAGCTAGCAGAAACGAATCAGTGGGTTCTGCTAGCTTAACGAAAATGTTCTGAATGTTTTCTATATGTTATATTTGTTAAATCAGTGCTAGTGGGTTCTGCTAGCTTAACAAAATTTGAGTTTTTTTGTTATTTTTATATTCAAGTCCGATTTCGAATCAATGCTTCCGTGTTGAAATGTAAGACCTCGTTAATCCTTAGCTCGCACAAGTTTCGACTTCTGAGGGTTGTCGTTCGTAGGGGTGCGACAGCTGGTTAACGGAAAAACAGATTTTAAACAGATTTTTTGAAACAGATAATGAATATTAGTTTTTCCATCCTTATTCCTATATTAAAACGAATTCATTTTCATAGCTACTTATAATAAAAATAATAAATGCTTTTATTGAATGGTTACTCAGTAAAACAGATACTATTTTAACCTAACAACAGGCAGAATTCAACATCTGCACATGATAAATCAAGGCAGATATTACTCTTCCATCCAACCATTAATAATTGAAAATGGTATTTCAATATGAAAATTATACAAAAATCAAAACCCGAATTTTGCGTTGAAATTCGGTATGTTATTAGTATTTGCCAAGTAAATGTCGCAACTCAGTCGATGTCAAGACGTAGTTTTGTAGAAATTATCGCATTTTTAGTGTAACATTTTTCAAAAAGCAAATCGAAGGTCCGATGTACGAAACTCTGTTCCAATAATATATGCTGATGATTGATCCTATTCAGTAACACAACAGTAAAACAAGTGGATTTTTATTTAAAGAAACATAATTCACTACCAATAAAAAATCGTTGTTCTTATATAAACCAGATGTTCGATCTGCATCTATAAATATCCAACATTACTTATGTTCAATAAGAATAAATTTCGTGTGAAATTTAGCAAATTGGTTACACAATACATCAGAGATTGAGCATGGGAATTTGTCAATATTTACTTTGATATTTCTAAACAGTGGCTATCGAGTTCCAATCTGTTCAATGTTACTTCAAATAAATACTGGTTCAGAAGTTTAAATGAGAAATCAATTCCTACAATTTGAAGCTGAATAAACTGTTTTTACTCAGTTTCAATGAGCATAAGGTATACATTCGATTCCATAGATCAGTGAAATTCAATGTTGTCCAAAATACCTAGGAGAATGAAGACGAAGAATAAATACTACTCTGTTCCAGAAATAAGAGTGATTTTTTATTTTTCTCAAGGAACGTTTGTTTATTCATCTATTTCTATTTTGTCTCTTTCAAAGTAGTCAGCGATTCGGTTTCTATCTCCTTGCAAAACGCCGTCTTTTCATGGGTCTCGTCAATCTTGGGAACAGGAAAAGTCGCATGAGGTAAAATCAGGTGAATACGGTGGCTGAGGAATGATTATGGTGTTGTTTGTTTTTTGAACATACCTTGTATGTTCCAAAGTATTATGTTTTTAATATTTGAATTGTGTGTACTTAAATAAATATCTGACCAAACTATTTCAATTATTTTGTCACTTCCATTGTTTCCTAAACACAGTTCATTGCCTCTTTTTTCAGAAATCATACAAAAGTCATCTTTAAAAAAGAATAGTTTTCTTTTTTCCAATTGAAAATCGCATGTCGGGACAAAAAACTTCAAAAACTCAAATTTGTTCTACATTCCTGTACGGACGCCACTGAATGAAACCTTAAAAAATCTTCAAAAAATAGCTGTTGATGCTTAGAGGGCATGTTATGAATTTCATAAAGATTTATTGAAGTTATGATGAAAACAAATATTTCTTAAGAATTCAACACTCTTGCTGAAAAATTAAAGATGTTTGCAATTTAGGTTTATTTGAAATTTTCTTCTGCACACCTTTAAGTATCAGCATTCTGTTCTGTAACACCCTTATTTCTAGATTTACATACTTGATGATGATAATAACCTGGGAATGTCAAAGTACGAACGATAAAAGTATTATTCCAAATATTCCACACTGTTTCTTTTTATAAATTGGAAATTGTGGAGAAATGAAACAAAAAATTAACAGATGTCATCTTGATATGAACATGACCCAGAAGCAATTTCCAGCATGGGTCTGGCGATATGCAGTAAATACCCAGCAAAATTGTGAAATTTTGCAGCCGATGTTGATTTCTTAACTTTGACTCTTTGTCATATTGCCAACAAATACAATCAATAACTCTATTGAAGCAACGATTTCATTTAGCGCTTGATTACAAAAAAGGTTATTTCGGTGGAAACAGAATTTTTATATTCTTAGGAAAAAATATTTGAAATTAATTAAATAAAGATCTTCAGAAAGCGATTGTGGAAAGATTTCAATAGTTATTATATTTAAGAAAAGAGTTTCTGAAATAGATGATTTTGTTACGTTTTCGACTTTTGAGTGACCATATCTTCAAAAATTATCACAAACAAAAAATGCGGTACCCACTTTCTTGAATATTCTGTAAAGAACGTTTATTATTATTACTGAATGTGTGGATCGTCAATAATGGTTCAGATTACCAAACAGTAGAAATAACGACTGCAAGAATCCCCAGTCAATTCACCCATATCCGAACCACAAAAACCAAGGAAACGAAATAGTTTATCGAAGAACTCGCAAACATTACAGACGAACTTACCACATAACATGTAGCCTTTTCGGAAGTCTTTGGAAGAATGGGCTATATCATTCCTGTCAGGGACCGTGCTCTGGTACCTCTTGGGGTTCCTCCAGAAGAGTTTGCTAAACACACCGAGTATAGACTCGCACAAGCTCAAATGTTTCCTATCACTGCCGACCACACTAGTTTTAGATCTGCTTATGTCGTTGTCGGTACTCTCTATACTCAACACCGTCGATTTTTGTTTCTGCTTGCACTTTTTTCGAGTGTGTTTGGAGTGCCTTTTCGATGACTGCTGCTCACTGTCGTCGTATACTTCGAAAACTTCCAGTTCGTAATCCATATTCCCTCTGGCAATGTCATCTAGCTCATTGGAAAGAGCCTGCAACCCTCAGCTGATTTTCACGAATTCATTTTTCAGCGAACTTCAAAGCCAGACGGCAATATCGACACTGTTTATTACGGCCTGATAGACGAACCACTTTCAAGAGACATGATTAATTATAAAGTATAAACACACCATAACACTTATTCGATCTCCTATGAATGTGTCAATTTCTGCCGAGGTCAAATTGTGGCAATTTTTTTCCAGGAAACTTATTTGTCGGTAATAAAGGGAATTCCCTTTAGACAGGTACGAACACCTGCCGTTCTGCTTTATTTCATCAATAGATGTCAGTATATGTACAAGAAAACCAGTTCATACACAGTAGATTTCAATAACCCAAGATAAAAAGAATTGATAACGACACAAATACGATATTCTTGTTAGTTTTTGGGAAAAGTGGCTTGGTTGAAATGAGAAACTTTGAGGTAAATCAGGCATAAAAAAATCCAGATGTTTAGTTTAACTAGTTTTCAATAGATGGAGCAATAGTACATTTTATTCGATGAAACCGGACGCAAGCTTCTTACCTTTCAATGTGCGATTCCCACTATACTGAACGAATTGAGACAGCTATCGTTTTTTTCAAATTTATGAGAACGTTTGAAATGAATCATACAAATTCTTAAAATAAATATCTACAACCATATCACATTTTTCAACCCTACTAAAAATTCATTGGAACAGTAAATTGTAAATATCGAATTTACGACCGTGTTCTCAAAGTCAACCTTTGATATAACAATCCATTAAATTAATAAAAATGTTTGTAACGGCGCGGCAGTCGCATATAAAGAGAAACTAGCATTATGGTTAAAATGCCCTTTGTTGTTAAACATGTGATGTGTTTATGGGTTTTTGTGTATTAAATCATAGATGATTCAGTTCTAGGGACACCTTTTAGAACCGTTTCTGTTGTGTCTGTGTCTAGTGCTGACCTCTCTGGTCCAAAAAACTAGCTTTTCCTCAAAAGTTTCTTTTTTTTGGATTTCGAGGAAGTGTATTTCTATATTCGTACAAGAGAGGTCAGCACCAAACACAACGGAAACATGAAATATTCATTCGTCAAACAGCAAGTACCTAACTACACAGTCAGCGATAAACTTTTTCATTGGTTCATTTGAAATAACACTAGATATGTATAGTGAATTCTGCGTAACGTATTTTAGTGTGATAATTATAGAAATGAATAACTGAAGAATAGATAAAATAAATCAATACGGCTAACTTGAAACACAAGAAACCACGATAATTCGTACAGACAGCTGATAGGACTTAATTTTTGTTTTACCTTCTGGCTTAGTTCTGATATTTCCGACAGACGTCGTCCCTACAACATGAAACAATGCGACGTTGCCAAGTTGTGTTAATATTTTGGCACCTAAAAAACTACCGAGTCAAGTGAAACTCACCTATGGTATGTGTTCTACTGCTCCTTATAGACGACCTGCCCACCATTTTCAGGAATTAATCTTAGGATGGAAACAGGTACAGGTACGAATACGACTTAAATGCAAACATAAGGTCACTTAATCTTCCAGTTCAGGTAATAAAATAAGGCCACTTTATACTTAAAGCTACGATATATAAAGACTACTATATAAAGACGGTAAAAAACTATAAAATACGTTCATATAAATATTGCAGAGGTAGAAAAAAATTCGTGGGCTAACTATTAAGGTTCTTGGTATGTATTAAGTAAACTTTTGCTGATGCAGAGGATGGGTCCTGTGGGATATTCGGTAGAGGTGTTTGTTTTGGCAAGAGCCGAGTCGTGGGGGGTAAAGAAGGCGTGGGGGGCGGCGTTGACGGTGGCGGGCGAACGGAAAGTACAGGAGGCGCGCATGGGTGCCTGCCGAACCAGATATCCGGGCCATGAACCGTTCTGAAAAATAAAAGAAAGATTTTAAAAACATGCATTTACACAACAGGCATATGAGATACATTCTAAACAATCGAATTTAAAGTTGGCTGTTTCCCAAGGATCAATTTTTGGTCCTCTACTATTCACGATGTATACCTTTCACTGAGTAAAATGCCTTAAACATTGCAGCGTTCATTCATTCATTTCATACACTATTCTACAGGATTAATCAAATTACAGAATTGGGAAAAATAGTGGCATTCACTAATAGTAGGGTACTTACATAGTATAATTTGTGAAGATATATAAAAAAAATATAGAAAAACAGAATTGTCAGTTAGCTAAGAAATGTTTTTTGATTTGTATAATCTGGAGTATCAATTCTTCTACTACCAGGTACATTCCTGGAGGGTAGTTGCTGGGTAATTGTTGGAAAGGTTGTTTTATCAAACGCTCCCTCGATATCTATGAATATACCCAGGGTGGATTCTTTGTTGTCTAATGATCCTGGTTTAGTCCATCCTACCTGGTTTGAGTATAAATACTACTCTTACTTCTCTTCATTTACTGGGAATATACCTCAGAGCTAGAGAGGCTCTGAATATTCCAACCAGGTGCAGCATAACAGTGTCCAGTCCCCACTGAAGTAGGACTGATCTTATACCGTCAGGTCCTGGTGACTTAAAGGGGGAAAAGCCCGATATAGCCCGTCTTATTTTGTCCTCATCAATTACTGCACTAGCATATTGCCAGTCGTATTGTGAGGGTGTTGTTGGTACATCCATCCAGTTCGTCGTTCCAGGAATGATTCTTTGTTGTCTAATGATCTCTCTATTCTGCCAACCACGTGGTGAAGGGCCGAATCAGTAAACCTTCCCGGGGTATATGCATGCTGATTTGAATGAAGTGGGTTGTTAACAAGTACTTCATCTCTTATATACCGCTCACATAGCCTCTCCATGGTTTTTAAGAAAAACGATGTGAGGCTAATTGGTCGGAATGCTTTTGGTAGGGTGTAGTCCATGCTACCTGGTTTGGGTATAAATACTACTCTTACTTCTCTCCATTTACTGGGAATATACCTCAGAGCTAGAGAGGCTCTGAATATTTCAACCAGGTGCGGCATAAGAGTGACCAGTCCCCATTGAAGTAGGGCTGGTCTTATACCGTCAGGTCCTGGTGACTTGAAGGGGGAAAAGCCCGATATAGCCCATCTTATTCTGTCCTCATCAATTACTGCACTAGCATATTGCCAGTCGTATTGTGAGGGTGTTGTTGGTACATCCATCCAGTTCGTCGTTCCAGGAAAGACAGAACCTGGGAAGTGAGTTTCCATAAGAATCTCAGCACTTTCCGGGAGGTTAGCGGCTTTTTTTAAGTCTTTATCTTATGATAATAAATTTTACATTTTTAAATCGACAAAATCGAGGATTCAATATTAGTTGGTACGATAAATGCGATTGGTTAACCGGCTCCATTAAACGGGAAACACTTTTTTGTTGGCCCTGTGTTTTATTTTCCGTACAAACCGAATACCAAACGTGGTCTAAAATAGGATACTCCGATTTAAAAAAATTACCTCGTTCTACAGAAAGACATTTTAAATCTGAGGAACATATATTTTCGTCATGTGAATTAAAGTTGTTTAGCAAACAAAATATAGCAACAGCTTTAGATACAGCTCAAAAAGAGGCCATCATTTCTTTTAATAATCAGGTTAGGGTTGTTTTTCAGTTTTATACGTATAATTTTTGGCAATACCTAATTTTTGTTTGCATTTATGCAAATATTGCGTATTTTGCTTTGAATAGGTGCGGTACCCCAAAAAATGTTCGCGCCTCAGGCGGGCTTTTCTGTGTGTATATAGTCTTTATGACTTTAGTCTCCCCTGTTCTTCAATGCACGAGCCGTCACTACCTTGACAGGTTCTACCTAAAGTTGACTTGATATTTTTCATAAACTACACCTCTAAATATAAGGAATTTAAAAAAAATTATCAAACGACTGTGAAAATGTATCAGAAACAGATCAGTGACGCTAGAATAAAAAAATACAATATGTTGCACGTGACAGTTGGAAAATAATCAACGAAAATAGTAACAGAGATAATAAGAAACAATTTTCTGACATACATAACCAGAATGGAGAACCTATTAGAGATGAACTGGGCAGATGTAATTATATTAACAATCATTTTACTAACCTTCCAAAAATTAGCTTAAGCTCCAATAAAAACAAAAAAATTAACATTACCCCTGTTAACTTTTTTCTGACGCCTGTAACGCCAGATGAATTGAGAACAATTTTAATGAAAACTATACCTCAAAGACAGCTTCAGGAATTGATGACATTAATGGAAGAGTTTTGAGATCAGTTGTGGATTTAATCTGTGAACCACTGGCATATCTCATAAACGAGTCATTTTCAAGTGGTATCTTTCCGGACCTGAAACAATCAAAATGTATACCAATATTTAAAAATAAAGGTTCCGACCATGATGCTGCAAATTATCGCGCTATTTGTGTTCAGAGTCAAATTTCCAAAGCGTTCGAAACTGCCTACTCTGTCCGGCTGATCTCCTACCTTGAACATTACAAAATCATCTTCAATAACCAAACCGGATTCAGGAAAGCTAAATCAACCTCAACGGCTATTGAACAAGCTCTGGATTTTATCTATGAACAGCTTAACAACAAGAAGAATGTACTAGGTATATTCTATGACTTAACTCGTGCATTTGATATGGTTAACCACAACTTACTCTTTCGTAAATTATACAGCATTGGAATTCGTGGTATACCACATGATTGGATTTGTCATATTTGACAAATCGTTCTCAAGTGACAGTAATAAATAATAGCAAATCTGACTGTAAGAGTGCTGAGTTAGGAGTGCCCCAGGGGTCTATATTTCTTGGGAAGTCTGGTAAACTTGGGTAATTATGCATGTGATGAATTCAGTAAATACTGTAGCGACAATGACCTTGTCTGCAATATGAAGAAAACTATGTTTATCAATTTTTTACCTAAGAACGGTACTTCGAATCCAGATCTATTGAACAACATCAATATGTGTGGTGAAACTCTGGAATACTATCAGGTAGCTAGATTTTTAGGAATACTCCTGGATCAAAAGCTAACATGGGAAGTATATATCGACAGTTTATGTGTGAAGGTTGGTAGTGCAAACTACGCAATTCAGAATCATGGACTGGTACAATCAAGGATACAGTATGGATTGATCTTCTGGGGTAACTCTGCATATACTGACCGCATTTATAAGGTTCAGAAAAGAGTCATTCGCTGTATGGAC